AGCATGTCCTATGCTTGGAGTTTCAGTCTCCTAGCACCACTGTTACAGGAGCCCAGTGATTGGTTTAGGACAAAACTTATCTCAAGACACTTGTGAATTGGAAACAGCACCATATGGTTCTTCCCATTATCAGAGTGGTCAAAAGAATGCTCATCTCTCAACACCATTCACACACCCTGTACCCAGACAGAAGCCAGGATGATATGGAACAGTTGTTTAGCAGCCACATTACCAGGAAAAAAGGAAATCAGTCGGTCTAGAAGTCGTTTCAAAGTGTCTTTGGCTTTGTTTCCACCTGTGAAACACACACCTGTGACAAAGTCTGTGCTCAGTAAGTGCTCAGTGAATGAACTTAGATTATGACTGTCAATTTCCTTTTTATGATAAGAACTAAATTTTCCATGCAGACCATTTTCACAATTTATGGTTTGGGTTATCTTGTCCCTTGGATATAATGGAACAATCGGTGATACATTTTTCCTTTCCACATTTTCGTAATTTCCCTAAAGAAACTCACAATATTATCCTGTCCTAAACTTGTGTTTCTAGCCAAGATCAAAGCCACAAGCTGATTTTTTTTATTCTGTCCATAACAATAGTCACTATGTCTGCAGAATGAGCCAACTAATATTATTTGGTGACTTTATCAAGCTATGTCATCTTGAAGGCATAAAATATTAATTGGCACACTGGAGCAGATCACATTCTCAGAGAGGAGCTTACAGTGTCCATGCTCCTAAAGTGAATCTACGAAGCAGAATGTGGCTGATACATGGGAGTATTAACACTAAGGAGACAGGGAGTAATGTTCTCTGGCCAGTATGGGATGTATAGGGAGAAGACAGAGCAATTCTTCAAATGTTTTGGAGTTCTGCAGAACTTCCTTCTGGAAAGGATGGGGCACCTTAAAACTGACTTGGAGGTAGGCAGTGGGAAGACACAGGATTGGGGGAGAAAAACTTAACTGGATATAATTGGGAAGTGAAGTCATCATGGGTCTCTGTTTTAAAGAATTCCTAATGATTTTGTCCTTTTGTTGTTGTGGTTTTGAGATGGGGGTCTCACACTGTAGGTCATGGTGGCCTTAAACACATGGAATCCTACCTACTGCCTCAGCCTTCAAACATATGGATTAGAGGTGTGCTCCATTATGCCCAGTTGTTCTCCTCCCTTTAAAAATGATTGGCAAGTGAATATGATCATGTTTCATTGTCCACAGTAAGAAGTTATTAACACTAGGGTTGAAGAGCTGGCTCAGCAGTTAAGGAGCTGCTCTTCCACAGGACCTGGGTTTGGCTCCTAGCAGCCACATGGTGACTCAAAATTATCTTTAACCCTAGTCCCTCAGGATTCAGTGACTTCTTCTGGTCTCCAAAGGCATCAGGCATAGATGTGATGCACAGACATAAGTGCAGACAAATCACCTGAATATGTAAAAAGTATTTAATTAAAATAAAAAGAAATTCTCAACTAAGTAGTGTAGGGCAGTGCCTTTAATCCTAGCTCTCAAGATTCATAAGCAGGTGAATTTCTTGATTCAAGGCCAGCTTGGCGTACAGAGCCAGTTCTAGGACTGCTAGGGCTACCCAGAGCAACCCTAAGTTGAAAAACCAAAACATATGAATATATCCTAAAGAAAAATATTATTAAAGTATAAAATGATTGAAGTTGGGTATAAAGCTCAGTGGTATAATAGAACACTTGCTTGGAATGCATGGGGCTTTGGCTTCAAACTGTAGTTCTGCAATAAATAAATAAATAACATTGTAGTTGCCTTTTGGGCTAGTGTTTGATTGCCAGCTTCAAACCCCTCCATCATAGCCTCTGTGCCTGTTTTGATAGAACCCCACAACTATGGGGGGGGGTGAGTTGGTGGGGGGTTGTAAACATTATTGCAGCAGCTCTTCCTGAAGATCCTGCAGCAACTATAACTCCAGTATCCTATTTGCACTGAGAGTGAGGCAGCTTACTAAGTCAGCATTAAATGACCCCACCTAAGAACATCATAGCTGTCCCTGCTTGGGAGCAACACCTTTCAGAGCCACAGGGTCCCTGGAACAGCCACAACTAAAGCAGTGTCTCCCAGGGTAAAGAGAGACTGCGGCTGTCTGTGGTGGTGACAGCAGGGCAATGTCTAGCTGTAATGAAGTCTTTTCTGAACATCTGAAACTCAATGGAAGCTTCCATGGATGGTCCTTGACTGGTTTGGAGATTTCAGAGCATTTGTGAGGTGTTGCTGTCAAGAAAGTTATGGCTGTCATGTTGACAACTGGAAGAAGTAGCTATTTGATTGGCAGCTGCCTCACATTTTAGTTCCATGAGGTTCCATTTGTCAATAATGAATTTCCCGAGCAACTGGGGTGTTCTCAGAAACTGTGGCACCTATGCCTACATCTTGGCATATCTTCCCTTTCTTTTCCTCTAGCATTGTCAGTTTCAGTTCTTATGTTAAGGTCTTTGGTCCATTTGCAGTTGATTTTTTCTGAGAAGTGAGAAGTAAGGATTTATTCTTATTCCTCTACATCTGAATTCAGGATTTACTTAGCAACCAACAGAGACATTTTTCAATTAAGTAGGTAAGTCAGGAATGGGGCTTTAAGGCTGCCTAGAAAGATATCCAATCAAATTGCTTCCTGGAAAAAGATATACATGTATAGAAACATAGAACTTTGTTCTACCCATACAATGGAATGTTATGAGAGGACAGGTAAATTCAAACAGAATGGAATCAGATACAGTACAAACTTTTCTTTTAGGGCAATGAGAATGTCTTATAACTAGATAAAGTGGTTACATACCATTGCAAATAATGCTGTAATTGTTCACTCAATATTTGTTCATTTTATGTTATATGAATTTTTAGGCAAAACTTTCTGTGTGTGTCTGGATTTGAAGAGTTCCTGTGGTTCACCTGCTTTCCCTCTACTTGCCCCAGCACTGGGATTATAACAGCTCACTATCACATCCCGTTGATTCACAAGGGTCCTCATGCTTGTGTGAAAATCACTATACTGACTGAACTATCTCCCATCCTCACGTAGAAAAAAAATTAAAACAAAATTGAAATGTTTTCTAGCACATCCTGGCATGTGCCTATAATCCCAGCACTGGGGAAGCTGAGACAGGAGGATTATAAACTGGGCTACCTTTGAGATCTTTTCTTAAAACAACAACAAAAAGCTTTTTATTAAAAAAGTAAAAAAAAAAAAAAAAGGAACTGGAGATGGCTCAGCTATTAAGAACACTGGCTAGTCTTCCAGAGGACCTGGGTTTGATCCCCGGTACCCAAGTGGCAGCTCACAACCATCTGTAACTCTAGTTCAGGGGATTTCAGTGTTCTCTTCTGGATTTCATGGGCACCAGGCATACATGTGGTGCACAGACATACATGCAGGCAAGACACATACATAAAAATAAATTTAAAATAACAGAGAACTGTGTAAGAAAGCCCCTCCCCCCAAAAATCATAGGAGAAATGCATTTTGGAAAGTTTAAGCTGTTAATATGTGAGGAGAAAGTCTAATGTCTTCAAACATATGAAGAAGTTTGTAAAAAAAGGTAATGTTGACCTTCAATAATAGAATTAAATTATAGTTGCCTTACACCTTCTCGCATATCCTATGCCTGTGGAAATGTAATAAATGCTCTACTGGTTTAATAACTCCCCTTGACCCCTTATGTTCCTTTCATCACTAACTTATTTGATTATTTGGTTGTGGAGACAAGGATTGAAATCATGCCTTTGCATATCGTAGATGTTGCCAGGTTGTTGGCCTTTACCCCACACCAAGAAGACAGTCCTCGCAATGAGCACACTACTTTGTTTTCCACTATTAATCACTCACTGTGTCAGTGTTAGAGTTAGGACACAGAGAGTAGGAAAAACCCTAGAGGTGACGTCAAAGAAGGTCAAGGTCTTGCTCTGGAGTGAGAGTTTCATTCGTTTCAACAACAGAGTCCAGCTTCCCAGCACCCCAAACACAGGTCCTGAGAGGGAGGGCCTCCTGGTCATTGTGAGACCTGACCTGAAGCTTTCCACACCGCGAACAAGCAGGCAGAGGATTCGCTGTCCCTCCCCATTCCCCCCTCAACCCCCCCACACTTCCTGCTCCCAATTCCCCCAACCAAGTGTTACAAAGTCAACTGTCCAACCAAGTGTTACAAAGTCAACTGTCTGGGCATTAAGCAGAACATTGCTTTGCCTGGACGATCTACTGGACTACGACTCCCGGGAGGCACTGCGTTCAGGCGGCCCAATCCGGTAGGGTAGAGGCGGGTTTTCCCGTTGTGGTTCTCGCAGCCAGTGGGCGTCTCCGCGGCCCCGCCCCCAGCCCTGCTCTAAGGTTCCCGGTCTCCAGTCTCTGGAGAGGTGGGTCTCCTGCCGGCGGTGGCTCCTTGCCTCAGTTCGTGGTGTTGCAGGTGGCTACTGCTGCCGACACTCAGCACTGCGGTGGAGCTGCGCGTCCCCTTGCTGCAGCATCGCCAGAACTGACTGGGCCGCGGGGCCTTTAGCGCGTGGTGGCCTCGCTTGGCTCTGAGCTTGTGCTCTCAGAGGTACTGGGGGTCGGAGTCGGCAGGGTGCTGGAGAGTTGGTGCGAGCCACTGACAGGGACAGTTTGAACTTTCCTGGGGATTCCTCTACCAGCTCATTAGATCGTGTCGGGCATTTCTCCAGATACCAAAGTAAAATTTTCCTTCCAGTGCCCTTTTGGAAATATTATGACTTCTTAAAAACGGACGAAAAGACCAACTCTTCCCACTGTCTGGAACTATCTTGTCTTCAGAATCTGAGATAAAGGCTAGCAAATGAGAAAGTTAAGTCTTTGCGGACACTTCCATCCTTAACACTCCCAGAGGAGCTTCCTTTCTATCCTTTTTTTTTTTTTTTTTTTTTTTTTTTTTTTTTTTTTTTTCTTTTTTTCTTTTCCCTTAGTCTTCGGAGAGGTTTCTCCAGAGCAATGACTCAGAGGACTTGATCAGTTTACGATTAGTGACATTGTTTCCCGAGCCCCCGAAATGGCAGCTAAAATGGAGATAACTTTGAGTACCTACCCCGAGGATTGTGGCAAACAAGAGAAACATATAATAATGGAGCTGGAAGAGAAACGTGGCCCCCCTCAGCAAAAAGCCTGCCCGGATCCGGAGCTTTCCCGTCAGAGCTTCAGACACTTTTGTTACCAGGAAGTATCTGGACCCCAGGAAGCACTCTCGCGCCTTCGACAGCTCTGCAGACAGTGGCTGCAACCCGAACTACACACTAAGGAGCAGATTTTGGAGCTCCTAGTGATGGAGCAGTTTCTGGTCATCCTACCTTCAGAGATCCAGGCGCAGGTCAGGCATCGATATCCAATGAACAGCAAGGAGATTATGACTCTGGTGGAAGATTTGCACAGAGCATCCAAAAAACCAAAGCAGTGGGTAAGGAGGATCCTTTTTCTGTGGGTCCCAAGATTTCTCTGTAGTCTTTTGAGGTAATGTTTTGTCTCATGGTCCCTAGCTAGTTAGAGATTCCAGAGGAATGGATGACTTCAAAAGTTGCCTCCAACCTCCAGGGACTCCCCTACCCCCTAAAAAAATTGTAACAGGGTTTTAGAAAACCCAACCACTGGCATCTAGTGAAGAGGTAGAAGACTACAGTGTTCATTCCTTCATAGGTCTCAAGACCTTAGAAAAGGAGTTTTATGGTTCTGAAATCTCTGTCAGATCTTCCCAGACCCAAGTTTGCCACAATCAGGGTTCTTGGCTAAGAGGTGTAGCCTGTTGGATAGGAAACTAGTTTTGGCTGAAGTTTCGTGAACTTCGGTCCATTAAAGAGTCTACCATATTATCTTTGAATGGGGCAGTTTCCGCTCAATTCCCCTGCTGTTGCTGACCACCCCCATCCCATTCCCAAAGCCCAAAGTCAGATGTCCTTTGGAAAGTGGCGCTGTGAGGCAACAGGTGGGTTCTTTTTAGAACTGAGTACCTTGGACAGAAAAACCTACCAAGTTGGAATGTTTTTAGAGGCTCTTTACCTACTGTAGCAGAAGCAGAGAGGGTTAGGGTGTGGGGTGGGAACGGTGGGGGGGGGCCTGGGGAGGACGACATTGTCATCACTGATTCTGATAGTTTTGCCAGCTCTCTTCTGATGGTATGAAGAGCCCCAGCTTTGGACACCTACTTGGGAAGTACAGGCTGACTGAAGCAGCCCCTTTCCTATCATTCCCCATGTCAATTCCTTCATCTCCTCTGAAGGTCTTGGTGGTATCTATAAAAGTTGAACGCCAGGTTGTTACCAGGACTTCCCAGGGTAAAGAGGTCACTGTAATAGTGTTCCTCCAGTCTGTCAAGGAATGGAGAATTAATGGATAGCCCTTTTCTTAGGTGGCCGTTTGTATGCAAGGGCAAAAGGTGCTCTTGGAGAAAACAGGGGCTCAGCTTGTAGAACAAGAATTTCCAGATTTTCAACCCCAAACTCCTAGCAGAGATACTCAAGAGAACTCCCTGGAAGAGCCTTCCTGGGAAGGATCTCGTGACAAGCTGAGTCCCCATCATTGGGAAAAATACCCCTTCTACCAGGAGCCAGTCCCCAAATTGACTGAGACAGGTAAACACTCTTTATCCTTGGACCCTTTCATTAGTCCTTTATTTCTATCATAATATCTCATGGTTCTGCAAATGCAAGTTATGTTACATATGACCACCTTTTAATTATTTTTGTGTGTGTATGATATGTGTAGGGGCCTGTGTGCCACAGTGTACATGTGGATGTCAAAGGACAACTTTGTGAAGTCAAGCTCCAGGTGCTGAGCTTGAGTAATAAGTACCTTTACTTACCCAGTCATTTTCCTGGCCAGTTTCCACCTTTTAACATTATATTTAATAACTAATTTATTATTTTTTTTGAGACAGGGTCTCATTGTGCAGCTCAGGCCGGTCTGGAGCTCATTATGTAGGCTGCATTAGCCTTGAGCTCACACAGATCCACCTGCCGCTGCTTCCCAAATGCTGGGAGTAAAAGCCTGCGTGACCATGCCCAGTCTGTTTGGTTTTTTACTTGCTTGTTTGTTTTTGAACAATGACTGGATTAGTTTGCAAAGTGGCTGTACCAGTTGAGACTCCTATCAAAGAGTGTGAGTGTGCTTGTCCATGTCCTTGCAAGCACTTATTCCCAGTACTTTTTATTATGATGATGTAATATCACCTGAGGTTCTGATTGTCATCTCCTTAATGATTTATGATGTTCAGCATTAATCACATTTATTAAATTATATATCTTGGCCAGTGAGCTGGCTCAGTAGGTAAAAAAGCACTTGCCACCAAGCTTGACAACCCAAGCTCAATATGTAAGGTCCACATGATAAAGGAGAGATTCACTCCTACAAGCTGTCCTCAGACTACTGCACATACTTCGTCATATAAGCAGCCACCCCTAACACACACACAATAAATATAATACATTTTTTAAAGGAAATTGTATATCTTTTGTTGGTTTTCGGGTGTCATGTAGCCTAGGCTGGTTTCAAAGCATTACTTAGCTGATGCTGAACTTGAACTCCTACTATAGTCTCCAGTCTTCACTTCATAAACCTTGTGATGACATACCTTTGCCATCACTCTCAGCTTATAGAAAAATTTTAGTCATATACTTTGCCAATTTCATTTTGGGCTATTTGTATTTTTATTATTGGGGTTTAAGAGTTAAAATACGTATTCTGGATCCTAGACTTCACAGATGATAATTCATGGATGTTTTCTCTCTCATTTTGTAAATTATCCTTTCAGTTCTTTAATGATGTTCCATGACGCACAAATGTTCTTTAAAAATGTTCCTACATTTTTATTTACTTTGTGTGTATCTGTATGCATGTGGAGTGCACATGCCCTGTGCACCTGGAGAAGTCAGAAGAAACTTTGGATACTTGGGTCTCTCCTACTGTGTGGGTCCTGTGGGTCACACTCAGGTCATCAGGCTTGGCCACAGCTGCCTTAACCCACTGAGCTGAAGAGTTAAGTTTAGCTCTTGTGTTTAGGTCTTTTGTTCATTTTGAGTTAGTTTTTTATATGTGACATTTTGTATATGTTACTGAGGTTATTATAACAAAATCCCTTAGGCTGGGCAATAAATAACGAATCTATTGTTAACTGTTTCAAAAATTAAGGCCAAGGTTGCTGAGGAGTTGACTTAGTGGGTAGGAATGTTTGCTGAGTTCAAATCCCCAGAACCTTCCCCCCAAAAATCAGGCCTGGTTGTGTGCTCCTGTAATGCCAGTGCTTTGGGGATGGAAGGAGAGAGGAGGATTTAGACCCATGGCCTGACAGTGATGAACAAGACACAACATCTTCTGGTCTCTTTATTTGTGCTTTACAAAGTGAAACACACAAACATCTGTACCATACTCACACACTGTAACAAACATACAAACAAAAAGAAGTCCAAAGTTGGTACCAACAGATACAGTGTCTGAGGATGACCTGTAGCACCTGCCATGTGTCCCCACATTACTGAAAAGAAAAACGGGAAACACGTTTTTTGTCTGTTTGACAAGGGCAATAATTCCATTCATGATTGCTCCATCTTTATGGCCCAGTTACTTCCCAGTTCTACTATGCTGGGGATTGTCAACACATAAAGTTAGGGGTAGGCACCCAATCAGACTGGAATCTAACTTCAATCCTTGAAACTTAAGAGAATCCAGTGATTCCAGGGTCATATACTGAAAAATGACTCTTTTCTTATTGAATGGTTCTTCAGAACCTCAATGAAGCCAGGCATGGTGATTCAGGCCTGTAATCTCAGCACTGGGGAGGTGGAGACAGATGAGCACCCTACAATCATCTCAGTTATGTAGTGAGTTTGAGACCAGCTTGGGCTAAATGAAGTCCTGTCTCAAAAAAATGAGCATGTCAAAACCTTGATGAAAATCAGTTGGCAATACCTGTTTGAGCTCCTTATTAAATTATAAATGAATTAAAATTCAAAATTAAGTTCCTCAGCCACATTAGCTCTGTTTCAAACACTCAACAGTCACATCTGCCTGGTGGGTACCATGTTAAATGGTGTATGCAGTTCATGAAAACAAATTTTCCATTTTAAGTTCCTGCTGGATAGTGATGTTGCTGATTCTCCAGTTTCCCTGGTCTGTTCCAGCTCACATCCATATTGATCCTCAGTCCTGCCAGAAGGTGGACAGTTTCTTTAATTAGGGTACATATCTACTTTATTTCAGTTTCTAAACCCTGTAATGAGAAAAACACCATAGTCACTGGATTTATCATTCTTTTGAAGTGAAGGAGGTTGTCAGTCCCATGTAAGGAAGGGAAAATTTTCAAATAATTACTTTAAGTATTGGAATTTTACCCTTCAGCCAAGTGCACCAGTACATGTATGTGGTCCCAGTTACTGGGAGGGTCACTTAAGAGTTTAAAATCAACCTAAGCAATACAATAGACCCTGTCAATAAGTAAATAAATATATCAGCTGTCTTCCTTCTTCATTGTTGACACTTCATTCTGATGCCTTTTGTTCATTCCTTTGTTCTTTCTATTCCTGTTTTCCTACACCATTTTCTAAAGATAGGAAGGACAGAAGGAGAATTTGGTTCCTAACTCTACTATAAATTTATTCTCAGGAACTAGTTGCAGATTACCAGCCTAACCCTTGGAATTCTGATTCACTAATGTCAGAGGTGAGGAACCCCTTGTTTATGGGTCCAGAGGAGTCTGATGCTTATACATTACCAGCAGAAGGCTACCTGCCCTGACAACCCTCACAACATACTTCATACAGAGGCTGCCAACCCCAACAACTCTCACAACATACTTCATACAGAGACCGCCGACCCCGACAACCCTCACAACATACTTCATAGAGAGGCTGCCAACCCCAACAACCCTCATAGCATACTTCATATAGAGAGCACTGACCCTAACCCTCACAATATACTTCATACAGAGGCCGCCGACCCTGACAACCCTCACAACATACTTCATACTTCTTTTACTGAAGCTCTTTCTTCTAAGTACAGAAAATGAAGCACATTATTTCTAATTATAGAGGCCTGCAGGATGAGAAGTGACAAGGAAAACCCACAACAGGAGGGGGCCAAAGGAGCAGAGACACATACAGTGTCATCCAGGAGATCTAAAGTGAGTGAACCCGAATTGTCACAGAGGCAGGCCAGTCCCCCAAATGCTCAGAAGGCATTTGCTCACTACCAGAGACATTGCAGAGAACTGGAATATATCAGCAACCCCTGCAGAGGCCACCCGCTGAGAGAGTTAAAGAAAAGCCAAGGAGGCAGAAGCAGCCTGAGCAGTCCCCAGCAATGTCTTAGTCAGCAGGCAGCCCACTCAGCAGAGAGATTGTATAAATGTGATGACTGTGGGAAAAGCTTCACGTGGAATTCAGAGTTGAAACGACATAAGAGAGTACACACAGGAGAGAGACCCTACATCTGTGGGGAGTGCGGAAACTGCTTTGGGAGGCAGTCAACTCTGAAACTGCACCAGAGAATCCACACTGGAGAGAAACCATACCAGTGCAGCCAGTGTGGCAAAAGCTTTCGCCAAAGCTCAAATCTTCACCAGCACCACAGGCTCCACCATGGGGACTAAACAGATGTTAGATCCCAGGGAAAGCTTCCTGTCTCTATTTCCCTTACTTGCATGTAAATCACAGAGTGTCTTTTTGATTTACAAAGGAGCAAGTGGCCCTTGGGGAGTAATGGGTGAATATTCAACTGGTAAGGAGCTCAAAAGGTGGCTGTCTGCAAAGATGGCTGATCTGGGTGTGGGGCAAAGAGAACTGCAATCTCTGCAGAGTGGGGACTAGTTACTGAGGAATAGTTAGGATGAGCCACAAGTGGTTTTAATTAATGCTTAAATCTTCTTGGTGCTTTGTTTTATAACATATGTGTTTTCATGCATACACTTGAGCAGTTCACCAGAATTCCAAGGAAACTCACTAGGGAGATCTCTAATAGTCTTTCTGCCACTAACTTTTTTGTTGTTAGTGTTGTTGGTGGTGGTTTTTAATTGATTTTTATTTTTGAGACAGGCTTTTTTCTGTGTATCCCTGGCTGTCCTGGAACTCACTCTGTAGACAGACCTTAAACTCAGAGAAACTGCCTGCTTCTGCTTCCTGAGTGCCAGAATTAAAGCTGCCAGGCTGTAGATGGCACTTTTATTTAAAAAGTTGTGTTTGAGGGAACTTTTTATATCAAAGTACTTTTGATTTACAAAAGTTGTTGCAATTCTAGCTCAAGATATAAGGAAAAACTACAGGGAGAAGTAAATACTGCTCTGGTAGATAGGGGAATTCTGCTTGTTCTTTCTCAAATAAGCCATTGGCTTTAAGACCTGTGACTGACATTTTCCCAGTGTTTACAGTTGAATTATAGTGATGGTTACACAACTCAGTGACTCCAGGAAAATTACTGAAACAGGTTAATTTATGATAAGTAAATTGTACCTCCATAACATTTTTTTCCCAATGACAGAATGCTATATTTATCTAAAATATTAGGGTTTCAGAACTGGATCTGGAATCCTATGCCAAACTCTTGTTTTTTCAAAGTAGAAAGTAGGACCCAATCAGTATCACTATAGGCAAGGTGTCCTCTTTCTCAGTTTAGGCAGATAAGATGTATGACCTTGTGTACAAATAGTGGGAGGTGGTCATTCTCCTGAAGGCATCAGTACTGTCTTTATTTTCAGTATTCAGCCTGTCCTTATCTCTTCCCCAGCCTAGATCCTTTATAATTCTCACCCCACCACCACCAAACACACATGCCCTTCCTTCTAGGCCAACTTCACAGTGGTCTCTTGGTAACTTCTGAGTCTTAGTTGTTTGTGTCTGTATCTGTTTCCTATTGGTGCTGTAACAAATGACTGAAAACTTGGTGACTTGTCATAAAACTTCTGTTACACCACTGGAAGTTAAAATCTGAAATCAGTTTCACTCAGCCAGAATAGCCAGAATTACCTTGGGTGGGACTTTCCTTTTGGAGACTCTGAGAGATAGATCAGTTTCCTTGACTTTTAGCTTCTAGCAGCTTCTTGCTTTCTTGGACTCATGGCCCCTTCATCCTCAAAGTACATTCTTTGACTATCCATCTTGCATAATCTTGTTTAACCTTGGTCCTCTTCAATTTCTCTTAGAAGGATGCTTGTATTGGACCTAGCAGGATAATCTCCCCATCTCGGGATCCTTAATAACACCCACCAAAAATTCCTTTTGCCATTTAAGGTGACATTTGCTGGTTCTAGGGATTAGAATGTAAATGTATGTGGAAGACCACCATTTGACCTACCTATCATGTCCTGTGTATCTTGGGTCAACTTGGTCACCCAAAGGGGAATTACCAAAAGAAAAGGAACATGGAGTTATTTATTAGGGTTGGCAAAGGGACACTTGCTAGAGTTTTGTTACTTGAGATATTTCATAGACCTAGTATGTTTCCTCTCTTCAGATTACACATTAGTGATTATTTGGTGTCTTTGGGTACCTGTTGGACTATAGACTTTGTATGACAGACTCACAGTCGACATTATTCTTTTCCAAAGGGTATCAAGACCATGATGCCACCTTTCCTCTGTGCCTCTAGTTGAGTTTTCCTTTGCATAAGGTTACCTCCAGACAACTAATGACAGAAAGAGTCCAATGGCACAGAAGGCCATTGGATGCTGTGTTCAAATGTAGGGGTTCCCTCATCTCCTTTGCCTCTGCATGCTTCACCAGAGCCTCGGCATAAAGTCTTGACCTATTTTCCTTGCATCCAGCTTCCCAAATAAGAAAATTACTTTTCTCCTTTCACATGCAACTCTTGATCCTATGCATTCCATTGGTCCTCCCTCATATCTGCCTAGCACATATTGGTATCAATGTTTGATTTCAATGTTTGAACCCCAAGTTACCCCCCCAGGGAAACCCAAGGAGAAAGGAAGCATTGAAAGATAGTGGGGGTCTATATTAGCTAAAGAGCATTTCCTATCTATAGCAGATAAGGTGTAAACAAATCCCACAATACAACTGTCCCTCTCAGTAAAATTGGCAGTGACTCCTCACAGTATAGTAGACTGCAAAAAAAAAAAAAAAAAATACTTCCTTTTTATTGCTTCATTGAAGTATTGCACATACCAGAGAACGTGTGCATTTATATATAAAGTTTATAGTTCAGTGGTTAACAATATGGTATTCAAAGCTGTGCAACTGTCATCACAATCTCATTTTAGGGCATTATATCATTAAGTACTCTTAAATACTAGCAATCATTTCCTGTTCCTATCACACCTTGTGCCTCTGGAGTATAGTATCATAGGATCTATACACATTGTATCACATATCAGGGCATTATTCTTTTTATTTCCTAGTAATTCTGGCATTCAGTTCATTTACTAATTGTGTACTTGTACTTTAGCTATTGTGGATAGAAATGCTGCTATGAACATTGATATTTAAGTTTTTACATTTCATTCCTCTTGGGTACATGCCTAAAGACTGAATTGCTAGGTCATGTGATAATTTTCTGTTTAACTTTTCTAGGAAACACCAAATTGTTTTCCAAAGTGGAGGCACCACATTTTACATTTCAACCAGCAGTGTACAAGGGTTCCAGTTTTTCCACACCTTCAACGTAATCTGTTACTTTGTTTTTTGAGACAGGCTCTCATGGCTGGCTTAGAACTCACAACCCTACCTGAAGATGATTTTGAATTCTTGATCCTTCTGTCTCCACCTCTCAAGTGTCAAGATTACAGGCATGTATCACCATGTCCAGTGTTTTTGGTATTTGCCATTTGATTATTGATGTCCTGTCAATGAGAAGTGGTGTATCATGATCTTCATTTTCTGTTCTCCACTGACTAATGATGTATTTGTGTATTGTATGTATATTTGCTTTGAAGAAATGGCTATTCACAACTTCCCTCCCCCATGGTGTTTTGAGACAGGGTCTTGCTGTATGGCCCTGGCTGACTTAGAACTATGTAGATTAGGCTGGCCATGAATTTGAGATAATGCTGCCTCTGTTTCCCAAACCCTTTGATTTTTGTTGTTTTTGAGACAGTCTTGCTCTGTAGCTGGGCCAGCTAGGCTTATCTTGAATTTGTAGCAATCTTCTTGCCTTAGTCTTGAGTCATGGGTGAGTGAGTCACCATGACTTGCTCTGTGGCCCTTTTAAAATGGATTGTCATTTTTGTGGCTGAATTTTAAGAATTCTTTAAATATTCTGGAATGATATCCTTATCAGATATATGCCTCGCAAACAGTTTCTCTCATTGTTTTGTAATATATATATATATATATATATTTTTTTTTTTTTTTTTTTTGTTTGCTTGGTTTTTGTTTTTTGAGACTTTGTGTAGCCCTGGATGTCCTGTCTGTAGACCAGGCTGGCCTTGAACTCAGTAATCAACCTGTCTCTGCCCCACTACTACCCAGCTTATAATACACTCTTGAACAATTGTTGTTGTTGCAGTTGGTTGATACAAACTCCTGTGTCACTCAGGATAGCCTTAAACTTGCAATCCTCGTGTCTTAACCAGTGGAATGCTGGGATTACTAGTGTACATTCATGCCCAGCAGTACACATCTGTAATGAAGCAACTGTCACTTGCCAAAATCCAAGGGACCAAATTCTCAGTTTCCTAATTGCTAGGAAAAACAGCCTGACATTCCTGTGAATTAAGAAGTTTAGGATCCTTGGAGCACAATTTATACCAGTTCCTCAGACTTCCCTGTGCCAACCCTGTGTGGCTCCCAGTTCCTAAGGGAAATTTAAGTATCTGTTGAAATAGTTCTGTTTAGGCTTTAGAATAAACATGTTCCCACTGAAATAAAGATGGTATTGGTTACTTCTTAAGCAACAGACGTTGGTAAGTACTTGAGATTTTTTTTCTCAGTTACGGGGATTGAACTCATTTAATCTAGCAGATTTGGAGACTATTTTAGGGAGAAGAAAGCCACAATGTTCAGAATTCAAATTCTAGACCACATCTCATAGCCTTCCAGACAATTAGGAGTAGGTCTGAGTTTGTTTCTTTACTTTATTGGGTCTTTGGTTAGAATGGCGTGATGTTTTGAGATGGGGTCTCTTTGCATTCCCTAGACTGATCCCAAAATCTTGGGCTCAAGCAGTCCTTTTGCTTCAGCCTCTTGAGTATCTGGACAACAAAACACTTGTTACTTTATATTTCTCTTGGGTTTCTGTCTTAGTTACTGTTCTATTGCCATCAGGAGACACTATGATCAAGGAAAGTTATAAAAGAAAGCATTTATGGGCAGTGATGGCCTTTAATCCCAGCACTCAGGAGGCAGAGACAGGCAGAGCTCTGTGAGTTTGAGGCCAGCTTGGTCAGCAGAGCTAGTTCCAGGACAGGCTCCAAAGCTACAGAGAAATCCGGTCATGAAGGAAGGAAAAAGAAGAAAGGAAGGCCTGGTGTTGGTGACACACGCCTTTAATCCTAGCACTAAGGAGGCAGAGGCAGTCAGATCTCTGTGAGTTCAAGGCCAGCCTGGTCTACAGAACTAGTTTCAGGACAGGCTCCAAAGCAATACAGAGAAACCCTGTCTTGAAAAACAAAAAACAAAACAAAAAACAGAAAGAAAGGAGAGAGGGAGAAGGAGAGAGAGGAGAGAGACAGAGGCAGAGACAGAGAGAATGAGAATTTAATTGGGGGTTTGTGTGGAGTTTCAAAAGGTTGGTCCATTTTCTGCATGGGGGGAAGCATGGTAGCAGGCAGACATGGCCTGGAGCAGTAGCCGAGTTTACTTCTAATCTAAAGGCAGCAGCAGAGAGACAGAGGCAGTCAGAGAAGAGTGGACCTGGTGTGGGCATTTGAAACCTCAAACCCACTACCAGTGACACACCT